CACCTCGACGAGTGGATAGTCGCAATGGCGTAACGTGCGGAGGGGAAGACTTGGTGTTAATTGATTATTAACTACTCCGAAAACCAGCGACCGCCTACTTCTAAGTGCCTAACAAAAACCCTCAAATAGAAGAATTTCCGATCTTTTCGACGGAGCTAACTGTTGCTCTATATACCTAGAAGCATAGCCTAGAGAAGACGACACGATCAACATAGGTGTGATCAATTGATTCATGAGTGTGATCAATCAATTTATGAGGGTGATCAATCGATTCATGGGGGTGATCAATCGATTCATGGGTGTGATCAATCAATCCATAAGCTGATATGTCTCATATTCTTAATATAAATGTTAAGTCAAACTCATGTTTAGTGTTGAAAGTAGCATTTGCACTATTCCTAAAACTGCTTGCTACGTCAGTCATAGGGCATTTATCTGATCCTCTGTTAAGATCTTTCTAAAAATCTATCTGATATTTAGCTATCTTATATGTGTGACTTAAGCCAAAGAAAAAGATGAGTAAAATAGGAATCGAACAGTGGTACAACATAGAGGAAGATCCGGTATGCAGATATTTTTGCATAGTTTTATTCTGATTTAATTACCTAATTCAGAATCACAGGTCACGTGATAATACCTGCCATAGATGAAAGCGCACAAGGTAGGTGCGCCCACCCTTTTTCTGACAGATGACTCCACCTGCGTTCTGACCTTCAGTTCTAGATTTATATTACAGACTGGGAATTTTTGCCGAAATCCCCACAATTTCCCCTGAAAATGAACCTTATTCGCCCTTTTGTACACCGTCCTTTTATACACCGTCCTTTTATACACCATCTTTTTGTACACCGTCCTTTTACTTCGTATACACCGTCCTTTTACTCCGTATACACCGTCCTTTTGTACACCGTCCTTTAATACTCCGTACATAAGTGTCAAAGCACAGATCGCATAGTGATGTTAGAGACCCTGTGAAAGGATGTTGTCTCAATTGCCTTTGTACTTTGCATCTCCTAATCTCCGAGAAATTGCCTAAGTAGATACACATCGTATGCAAGGTTTCAAAATGTTCGGGTTGACTCAGATGTTGAAATCAACAGTCGCTAGAAAAAGCCCATTTTTATGTATTACATTGCCTACACTTTATTGTAGTTTGATCCCAAAGGTAATCTGGAAATCTAGATCGCCCGAATTCTATCTATTTGATCGCTTGGCGAAGAGTGAAGCGCTGAAGATTAGACACTGTTGGTGGAAAATGTACGGACCGTACGCTATGTTGTACGAGCCTGATGTTTTCTAATTTGCATTTGCGCCGAAGTATCGCCGGCTGCGCCAGATGATGAGCTATTTGCGGGACTACGCAGTAGTGTTCTCTTATATGGGGATACCTTAATAAATGGCAATCACATGGAAAGCAACGTGCCAAGAGCTAATTTACTAAATTAGGCTAACCGCTATACCATGAGGGATCTCCACTATAGCTTCAAGGACGTCCTTTAAAGCCATCGACAGAGCCTACGAAAACTGATCGTATTCTACAAGACAATTCTTTTACTACCTCGGTGACTTCTAAAGATGCGCGTTTCATCGGTTTTGGGCTTTACTGGCCTCTCAGTGGCTTATGCAATCTCGAGCCTTGCTGTCCTTGCCGCAGCGGCGCCTGTCATTGCTGCGCCTGCATCGGACATCTCTGCATCAACTTCCTCTAGTGAGTGAACTCGAAGTACTAGAAAATCAACAGTACTAATCATTTTCTAGCCTCTGCAACGATTGATGATGTTAAGACTTACTCCCCGGGTGCTGATACCACCTGGCTTGATTCAACCCTGATGGCCGCCGGTCGAAAGGCAGATGCGGTTAAGACTACCTTCGTTGTCAACCCAAAGGCCGGTCCATACAAGAGTGTCACTGCTGCTATCGCTGCCCTGCCTAGTGATGGTCAAGAATACACGATCTACATCACGGCCGGTACATACAATGAACAGATCTCCATCACTCGTGCGGGAAAGACCATCCTTCGCGGCGAGACAAAGTTTGAGAATGATTACACTGAAAACACCGTCACTATTTCCTACTCCAATGGTAAATTGACCAGCGCAAGCAAGGATGAAGAGACACCGGTTATCACTGCGACAAACACCGACGGCAAGGGACTGGCCATCTACAACATCAATTTCCGGAACACCTACCCTCAAACACCCAACACTGCTGCTCTTGCTGCCGACTTCTATGGCACCGTGCAGGCCTATGGTTGCTCCTTCTATGGCTTCCAGGACACACTTCTTGCCAACAAGGGTACTCAAGTGTTTTCCAACTGTTACATTGAGGGCAATATCGATTTCATTTGGGGCTACTCCACCGCCTATTTCTACCAGTCGGTCATTGCATCGAACACTCCTGGGTCCTGCATTGCTGCAATGAGCCGTCCTTCTTCTGCCGCCCCTGGAGGTTACGTCTTCGACTCCTGTGTCGTCACCTACACCTCTAAATACGGTGAAACTTTCGAGAACACTTGGCTCGGCAGACCCTACTCCTCTTACAGTCGTGTTATCTACATGAACTCATACCTGGACAAGCACATCAACTCTGAGGGCTGGCATGAGTGGTCTGTCAAGTCTCCTCAAACTGAGCACGTGACCTTTGGAGAATACAACAACTCCGGACCTGGAAGCTGGTCTGGTGGCCGCGCGTCGTTTGCTACCAGTCTCACTAAGGCCCAGGCAGATGCCTACAGTTTGTCCAACTGGGTTGGAGGAACCTCTTGGCTCGACATGGCAGCTTATGAGTCCGTTCCGTCTTACAAATTGCCTAGAAGCTTATGAGTACGTTCCATCTTACGAAATGCCTGAACGCTCATGAGTACGTTACGCATTACCACTTGACAGCCACGACGGCCTCCACTGCTACCGCTGTATCAGCTGTTTCCGCGGTGTGAGCTCACCTATCCAACTGTTTGAATCTTCTATGTCACATAATCCACCTTTACATAGTAGTAGACTAGTTCTTCTTTCATCTTGTTTGTAACAAAATGGAAAACGAAAATGCAGGGTATTGTACCTTCATAAAAATATTTACTAGACCGTAGATTGAAACATTAATCAACGCCACTGTGACAATGGTGAAGAGCGCTTCCATTCTCCCTGCCTTCACTAGCACTGTCATCGAGACCTCTACTGTAACTAACCATCCTTCAGTTGGTATCACAGATCGTGCTACATCCACTTCCACAAAGATTATCAAGAATACTTCCACTAGCACCGTTATAGCCACAAAGACAGCTGAGTGCTCTTGATAATACATCTTGCGTTGGGACACTTTGAACCTTAGAGCTTCCTCGTGGTCTTTCAGTCTCTTCTGTTTCTTCTTCATTGTCTTTCTTCTTCTTTGCATTCGATCTTGATTTCCTTTGTTCAATGTTACTTTTTTTGGGCTCTTCTGCCGATTTTTTCTATTTACACAGCAATGCGCATTCGGAGCGCGGACGTTACTTTGTGTTATGACTCATAATTGGTCAGAGCATGGGATTGTTTGGCCCGTTGTCTGATAGACTCTAGGAGAATCAACGGAGTTCAAATTTTTAGAAGCAACGGCTTAATCCACCCTAGCTGAAACTTCCTTCTGATTAAGCGCAGAACGAATCAAGTCGTCAATTTTCGAGCTCTTGGTCGTACTACTACAGTCTAATGCTGTCTTTGCCTTCACTGTTGCAGGGCTTTAGGTCTTGCCGTGGTCCGAAGACGCGTAACAGCGGATGGAAACATGCACTGCTCCAGGAATAGATGTGCTGAAGTCAACTTCTTTCAACCGTATCATTCTCTTTTCTTCCTTTTCTTGGTCCTTAACAATTAGAAACTTCGGTTTGAGTTGGAGAATTCAATTAAGACCATAATGTTTAAAAAGCGCTTAGAGCATGCATGAATATGATCTATCTCCGCTCTAGATCAAAAAAAATCCTCTGGAGTAGTGAAGACCCTTCGATCAAATTACTATTTTGTCAGAGGGCCTCTATATTTGCATCCAGGCGATACCATAATCAAAACAAAGCAGTGCAGAAAATTACATATTGGGCCTCCAGCTAAGCAAAGATGGACGATCCTCTCCCCACTTCCTGGTTTAGACCATATTCCGTGCCTGGTACACACGAAGATCGAGCAGCTATCGTCCTTATTTCTCTGCCTGCGAAGGGGCAGAGTGGCCAAAGTTCAAATGCCTGGAAATTCCTTGTTAAATTAAAATGCTTAAATTACTAACAGTGGGCTTAATAAGTAAAGCATCTAAGTTTAAAAGAATGAAGCTATTCCCACTTTATAAATCCTAGAATCCCCTTTTTTCTCGGCGTTAAAGCCTTTTCACTTCATAATTATTCCCCTCTCCTCTCCTCTCCTCCTCCCCTCTACCACTCCTACACACTTACCCTAGCCACCGCTTAAAGCTTCTATCGAGGTAATCCCTACGTTATTACTACTCTAATTACTGAGGCTAACCCTACTACTATCGTTGCTAAAAGACCAAAGTCTAACCTATACTATCCCGCTTGCCTAGCCGCCGAACCCTAACTTTATATAGTTTTTATCTTTTTAGGAGGGTCCGAGTAGCTTTATTTATGGTAGAAGGGAGAAGATAGAGGACCTTATCTTTATAAGGCTTAAGATTGATATATGGTGGCATTTAGTGCGGTCGGGGTCGGTTTTTAACGCCGGGGATTCGAAGAAACTGATGATATAGGGGGTAGGAATAGCTTCAATTTACAGCACACGGTATAGAGCGGTGTCTAAAGCGGTCCATAATTCAGCCACCTTCAGGCATTTCCAGGTATCAACCCTAAAAAATCCGGCATTTGACCTTTGGCCGCTCTGCCCCTTCGCATCTGCCAATCCCTCTTCCTGGTGATCCTCTCAATTGGTCCCGCAGCCGAATTCCTCAGTAGCACCTGTTAAATTGCCTAGTGCTTCTTCGCCAGTGCTCTCATCAGCGGTCTGTCAACTTCCTAATCTCCTTGTTGGAGTGCTTGTTTGCTATGGATTAAAACTGGATCGGCTCGGAGATGGATTGCTAAATCTTGCTGGAAACTGGTTGAGGTTCAAGGCTTACTGCCAACTGAGCTTGATGTTTGATTTTTTGGGCATAAGTTTTAGCTTTCAGATCGACTGCTAGTATCACAGAATGCGCAAAATGCGGATCGGGCTGCGACACTTCTTGTTCAAGATCAAGGCAGTTGAAACAGACCGGTGTAGGTGCGACGAAGGCTCGCAAACACGGAAGCATTTTCTTTTGCAGTACCCGCGATATATATACACCACACGGGCCCTCCTCCAACAGTTCCAGTATATGACACTCGAGGACGACGACGAATCGATAGGTCTCGCAGCAATAGAGCTAGGTGTAGAAGACGATGGGTATTAGGCAACGACGAAAACGAAGCTGTGTAACGAGAAACCCAACTAGAGTTGATAATTTTGCCAATCAACAACTGGCTAGAAAAACTAAAATATCAATTAAATCCGAGGTAGGGGGGGGGGGAGGTCCAGAGAGAGAGAGTATAAAGTGGAGGTAGAAGGTGGAGGGTGCACTCCGTGATAAAGATCATTTAATTTCTCGTATATGGGTATGGGTATAGGTTTTAGTTTATGGGTTCTATGGTCTATGGGAATGGGCTGATTTCACACTTTGAACGATCAGCATGTGCATACTCTTCGGAGCAATACTAATTCGGCGTTTGGCTTCGAGATCTTGCTTCATATGAAAGAAGCGCCTGCATAGTTAATTGAAATTTTATTGGTTGATTGATTGATTGATAGTATCACAGAAAATCTACATAGAGGTAATATACCAGGCACTAATCTACAGTTGCTCAAATTCAAGATTTTCACACATATCAAGTCATACTGAAGGTGTTCAACAGCCTTCAGAGGCCGAGAGAGCATGTATAAAAAGACAAGGAAACTAAAATGTGGAACTAGGAGTGATCAATATATCCCTGCTTGTTTCTCTAAATAAATGGAATTATGTACATAAATTTTTCAGTCTGAACTCGTCAACAGAACACACAAAACCCTTGGTCCTCGAAGGAGGTTCTCCTTTGAGCTCCTTCCTTTGTCATGAAAGCTGGTCTTCGTCTCCTCTCTTGACACTCTCCGGCCATAACATCTGACGTCTCGCAACTGCAAGGATGGTAGCACCTCCCACACCCAACCACATGATAACTTGCAACACGGTCAAAACCGAAGTGACCCACAGGATAGCTGGTGATTGCAAGACCTCGCCAATACTGATTGTCGCTATAATAAATCCCGTGTTGGGGAATACCATACCCCAATACACAACAGACATGGGAGGGGCCCCCGCACCTCCAAATATTCTAGTAGAAGCCAAAACACTAATAGCAGCGATGCACAAGTAGAAGAAGGCCATGGCCCAGACAAAAATTGCAAAGAACGAGGCAATCACTATTGCAATATCACCAGTGCTCACGGTGATGTTTCCTGCAGACATGGGATCTGCGTATGAAATGATATATCGCGAAGGAAAGGCCTTCACTGCCTCCTTTGCCATGCCAATCAATGCAAGAGCAGTAAAGCTCCATGGCCCAACAGCAATAAACATCTGTGGCCGCTTAGCCCGTTCTGGAAGACCGTGCTTAGCGAGGAAATATTGGTATTCGGCGTAAATAAGCAAAGACATGAGGAAGCCGAAGCCTTGTAATGTAACACCGCCGATGAGAATGGGTAGTGCTTGGTCTCGTGGTTGATTCGCCGCAATGGATGATGCAATCGTGCCGGAAAGCATAGCTGGGAAGGAGGGTAGTAACTGGGCGATTGGAAAAGGTTGCTGGCGAGCCATGGCTAGGTGGTACAGATACCAGTTATGGATTATTGCTGAGAGAACGGAGAGAGCAACGTAGATCCAGAAGACAATTCGGAGGGCAACCTGCAGCCAGGGGCCGCAAGCACTGGTTCCATAGCCTTCTGCTCCGAGGATGATAGTCGCAATAGCCAGTAGGCATGTGGGCGCGTAATAACTTTCATTGCCATCTCGGAATGACTCTTTGACGGCGGCTGGCCTAGAAATAAAGCGGACGGCCATGCATAGTGTAATTGTGAGAAAGAAGATCAGGTTTAAAATATAAATGATTTTGCCGATGACCTCAAGTCCGGTAAATTGGTGAGGTGTCCGGTGGAGGAGGACAGCAATACCCCCGGTAGCCATAGACATCGAGTACCAACCCCATTTTATCAGACACAGTCGGTCTTTGAGGGTCACTCTATCATCGATAATCATTTTGGCCAATGTGAGGTTGGAAGGTTCAAATTCGCAACGAAGCGGAAGATTTAGGCCACATATGAAGAAAAATTATCTGCGTGGATCACATGGTGGATCACCCAACAAATAGTTTCTAAATTCAGGGGAACAGATTTCGTTGGACAAACCAAGTCGCGATCAATCGATCATGAGACCCATAAGGCAGTTGTGTATTTCGGCATGCCGAGCTCGGGATCTGTCCGAGCTCGGGACACTCAAAGCTTAAAAAGGCTTGTGCGCCGAAACTTGTTTTGCGTTTTACGTGTGAGGCCATTTTTGCACACTTTCTTCGATAGAAAAGATACTTAGTACCCTTAAATGAAAAGATGGCGATTGGTTTTCTGTATGTCAGCCGTAAATACTAGTGAATCAAAAAAAGTCCACGTTCGTATTTCGTCTTCCAAACTTCTCGAGTGGATTTTGAATGATGATCTTGAGTGGCCGATGCAACGATCTCCACATCTGCACGCAAATCCAGTCTTCTAGCTCGCGTCTATCGTTCGGCACAACTTACCCGTGCTAAGCCTTCTCGCGCGGCCTCCTGGATGACGCTCTCTGGAACAATGGGCTTGGCGATTCTCAACTTAAATCAAGGACTTCTTCAAAATACGGGAAAGGCGTCTTGGGTGGATCCTAGAGTGCAGGAGACCCGGCTGTTAGTGCATTTTTGATGCATCGATCATAACCCGAAGCACCAAAGACTGCTCAATCACACTGCTTGCGCACAGTGGCCTCGAGGAGCTCATCATCATGATTTTTGGGTAAGAATTAGATGAATTCATGAAGGTACAACTTTCTCAAAACTGTGCAACAAGGACGTGGCATTTAATTTACAACAAAATGGCGGGTTCCACTTTCCTTCGTGGTAAAGATATCCAACCACGATTCCTCAAGCAAAATGTCCAGTCAATAATATTCCCTATTCGTCCTTTTTAAGTACATACGACCATAGGGTGTGGAAAACAGGGCTTCCCGTCCGCTCAGCCGTACTTAAGCCACACGCCGGTGAGTTAGTAGTTGGGTGGGTGACCACCAGCGAATCCTCACTGTTGTATGTTTTTGTCTTTTTTGTGCTAAATTTTTTGCTTCGCGATAAATTTTGCTGCCCTTCCTTCAATCTGATACCTGGGCCTCCCTGAACACCTATACATATCTCACACCAGAGTATCCTGCACAAACCCAAAGCAATGCCATGTTTCCCCCACCCCCTATGCCAATTTTCAATATTAGGAATATTGTTTCCGTTATATCCCTTCAGTCAGTGTGTCTTTCATATTCCGTTATTCCGTAGTGTTAAGAACTCTAAGTAACATGAAATAGAATCCTTTGAGCGCTAGAACTGATTATGAGAGTTGACACTGATGAAAGTTCTTTTCTGGCCGTTGGGAGTCGATTCCGTAACATTGGAGGGCCTTAGTGATAGTTAAAGTGCGGCGCGTTTGTTATCTGATCCTGCGCCGGGTAGATTTTGAGTGGAAAATTGACGTAGGAGTAGATAGCTGGGGAGTAGAACTCAAAGGTTTAAGTGGCTAAGATTTAGAAGAGTACTAAACTGAACGGGTGTAGACTGGGTCCTTGACGATTGTATAGAGATGGCGTTTCATCTCGCAGATATTGTAGGTCTATCTAATCACACGTAGGTTGGATGCATAGGCGGATATACCTTTTTTCGATAGTCCCTCACTATCTCGCTTAGGCCCTGCTAAAAAAAAATCTAAGCATCTAGGGTCCTAGGAGTCTAAATACCCTTTTTTGCCTTGTGGGATACTGGTCACTCTTTTCGAATAACATAAATTCCAGCTGATCACTTCTTATTACGCTCGATGTTGGAGTAAATGCGGGTACCCTGGGGCTTGAAAACATAAACGGGCGGCAATGACCGTGAACTGGTAGGAGCCACTTCTTTTAGCCTCATATACCTTTTTTTTGCGGCTTAAAGAAATTTTTGCTAAGTCATTTCAGCACCGTGGCCGGAGCGAATTTCAAAAGGCAAATTTTGACCCGCTGGGCTAACAATGCTCTCATTTCCTTTTTTTTTTTCTTTTTTCCTTCTTCAAACTCGCTCCTACGCTTTTTTCTTTGATCTTTATCCATCCCCCGTCTACCACTATACTCGGTGGGTTGGCTAGTGTGCTCAGCTTGGCTGGCGTAGCCGTGACTGATGGGTTGACTCTTAAGAAGAGAGACGTCCCGGCGGCTTTCGCGATGCCAATGGTACGCGACACTCTGCGTTCAGCTTTCTAGGCGATCAAAGACTTTCAACGTTAGCCTTAACAACGAGCAACTGAATGTAGGTCCAGCACTTGCAATTTAAGTGACTTATAGGCTAAACCTTGCTTTTTAGTACAAATCCTACGTCGTAAAAGTAACTTTGGGTACCCTGCCCCCAACATTTTCTGCCGTACTTCAATACCTAAGGTACTGGCTGTTGGCTTAAAAGCTTGGGTGGCTCTGATTGCAAGCTCTTCGTGAACTAGTTCATTTATGGTGGAAATAGAAGCTACAACCTGACTGCCTCGACCACTGCCAGAAAGCTCGACGAGAGATTCGCACATCAAGACTCCGGTGCAATGATAAGTTAGGGCATCGTCACCGACGTCCTGACAATTGGTGATATCACAACAGACTAG